TAAATAAGTAAAAAAATAAAAAAAAATTATTACTTAATTATAAAAAAGAAACAAAAGACAACTACTACACTAAAATTCATCATAAATCAAGGGGAAGAAGTAGTACCAAGGGGAGGCCATACGGGAGAGAGAGAAGATCGGACAATCGGAGGTCAAGACGGACTTACCGGTGAAATTTGGTAACCATCGGCCACCGGTGGCAAAGGCGATACAGTGGCGGCTCGGTGCCATAAATATTAAACATAAAATATAAAATTATATATGTATGTATGTATAATTATTTATTTTTAAATTGTTTTACCTTTTTACTTATTTTATTATACATACATATATAATTTTACATTGTTTAATATTTATGCCACCGTGTTGCCACCGCACCGTCGCGTCCACTGGTGGCCGATGGTTACCAAATTTCACCGGAAAGTTAGTATTGGCCTCCAATCGTCTGATCTTCTTTCTCTCTCCCGTATGGCCTCCCCTTGGTATGTCTTCTTCCTCTTGATTTATGATGAATTTTAGTGTAGTGGGTGATTTATTTAACAGGTAGTGGGTTTTTGGTAGGTATTTATTTAATTGGTAGTGTGATTTTAGTGGATAATTGTTTAATAGGTATTTATTTAAACTAAATATTTTATTCAAATTTTGGTAGGTTTAGTAAATCTTAGTAGGTTTAGTAATACCCTTAAGTAATCTACTAAATCCACCAACTTTAGTGTAATCATTATGTTTTTTTTATTAAAGTTTTCTTATCATTATGTATTTTGCTTCTTTTTTATAATTAAGTAATAATTATTAATTTTAAATTTTTTTACTAATTTAATTATACATACATATATAATTTTATATTGTTTAATATTTATGTCACCGTGCAGCCACCGCGCCGCCGGTGGTTACCAAATTTCACTGGAAGTCCGTCTTGGCCTCCGATTGTCTGATCTTCTTTCTCTCTCCCGTATTGCCTCCCCTTGGTACTACATCTTCCCCTTGATTTATGATGAATTTTAGAGTAATGATTGTCTCTTGCTTTTTTTTATAATTAAGTAATAATTATTTATTTTTAATTTTTTTTACTTATTTAATTATACATAATTTTATATTTTATGTTGTTTAATATTTATTCCACCGTGCTGCCATCGTGCCGCCGCCTGTGGCCGATGGTTACCAAATTTCATCGGGATGTCCGTCTTGGCCTCCGATCTTCTTTCTCTCTCCCGTATGGCCTCCCCTTGGTACTACTTCTTCCCTTTGATTTATGATGAATTTTAGTGTAGTGAGTGTCTTTTGCTCCTTTTTTATAATTAAGTAATAATTATTTATTTTTAAATTTTTTTTATCTGTTTTACTTATTTAATTATACATACATATATAATTTTATATTTTATGTTATTTAATATTTATGCTACCGTGCTGCCACCGCGTCCCCACTGCCACTGGTGACCGATGGTTACCAAATTTCACCGGAAAGTCCGTCTTGGCCTCTTATCGTCCGATCTTCTTTCTCTCTCCCGTATGGCCTCCCCTTGGTATGTCTTCTTCCCTTTGATTTATGATGAATTTTAGTGTACTGGGTGATTTATTTAATAGGTAGTGGATTTTTTGTAGGTATTTATTTAATGGGTAGTGGGTTTTTAGTAGATGATTGTTTAATAAGTATTTATTTAAACTAAATATATTATTCAATCTTGGTAGGTTTATTAAATCTTGATAGGTTTAGCAATACCCGAGCAATAATCAATGAATAGTGGTGCTACTTTTTCCCATTGTTTAATAGGTATTTATTTAAACTAAATATATTATTCAAATCTAGGTAGGTTTATTAAATTTTGATAGGTTTAGTAGTACCCGAATAATAATCAATGAATAGTGGTGCTACTTTTTCCCAACAAATGGAAGTTGTTGAATCCACCACTAGATGATATGGAAACATAAGTGGAGGCAACAATATCATTAGGGTACTATTAAACCTACCAAGATTTATTGAACTTGCCAAGATTTTAATAAAATATTTAGTTTAAATAAATATTTATTAAACAATTATCTACTAAAAACTCACTACCCATTAAATAAATACCCACCAAAAACCCACTACATATTAAATAAATCACCACTACACTAAAATTCATCATAAATCAAGGGGGAAGAAGACATACCAAAAGGAGGCCATACGGAAGAGAGAAAGAAGATCGGACGATCGGAGGCCAAGAAGGAATTCCCGGTGAAATTTGGTAACCATCGACCACCGGTGGCATCGGCGATGCGGCGGTGCGGTGGCAGCACGGTGGCATAAATATTAAAAAATATAAAATTATATATGTATATAAAATTAAATAAGTAAAAAAGATAAAATAAATAAAAATAAATAATTATTACTTAATTATATAAAAGAAGCGAAAGACACCCACTACACTAAAATTTATCATAAATCAAAGGGAAGAAATAGTACCAAGGGGAGGCCATACGGAAGATAGAAAGAAGATCGGAGGTCATACTGAAGAGTGAAAGAAGATCAGAGGCCAAGACGGATTTTCCGATGAAATTTGGTAACCATCGGCCACCGGTAATAGCGACGACGCGACGGCGCGGTGGCAGCACGGTGGCATAAATATTAAACAACATAAAATATAAAATTATATATGTATGTATAATTAAATAAGTAAAAAAGATAAAAATAAATTAAAAATAAATAATTATTACTTAATTATAAAAAAGAAGCAAAAGACACCCACTACACTAAAATTCATCATAAATCAAAGAGAAGAAATAGTACCAAGGGGAGGCCATACGGGAGAGAGAAAGAAGATCGGATAATCGGAGGCTAAGACTGTCTTCCCAGTGAAATTTGGTAACCATCGGCCACCGATGGCAGCGGCGACGTGACAACGGCACGGTGGCATAAATATTAAACAACATAAAATATAAAATTATATATGTATGTATAATTAAGTAAAAAAGATAAAAAAAAATTAAAAATAAATAATTACTTAATTATAAAAAATAAAAAAAAAGGCATAATGATTACATAATGATAAGAAAACTTTAATAAAATTTTTTAAAAAAAAACATAATGATTACACTAAAATTGGTGGGTTTAGTAGATTGTTTAGTATATTTAAACTCACCCACTCACCTATTGAATAACCCATGTGTTCCAACGACATGAATCTTTTAAATAATAATAATAACAAATCAATGTTAGTTATAATTGAATGCGGAAAGCTTTGATTAAATTTTATTTTTTTTAAAAATTGAATTTCACATGAGTTATAGTTAATAATAATTTAAATGAAATCCAACAGGTCGATGAAAGAAGAGACATGGGCCAGGCATCCTAGTCCTTATAAATTGAACCAAATAACACAGATGCCATGTTCAGCAACAGTACAAATCACAGAGGATGCAGCCCTTGACCTGGCACTGACTCGGCCCTTATAAGGATATTGAAGGATTCATTGTTCCTATCTGTTTGTAGTTTTTGTTTCGACTCTAAATACCAAAAGCTAAACATGGTTTCGCTTTTTAAAAATCAAAACGGAAACAAATGTTCCTTTCTAGTGAGAACTAATAAACATGCATTCATTTAGCCTGAAAAGACAGCCTCCATATCTTTTAATATAGTTGTGTATATTTGACTTAGAGCGAATAAAACCAGAGCGAACTCCTTTTTGAATTCCTTTTATTTGGAATAAAAGCATCAATTACCCAACCATGAGAGCAAAAAAGAGATCCAAACCTCTCCCAATGAATCTTCTCTGGTAAATTTTCAACAAATAACGTGAAGCATCCAGACTTGTCAACTCTGCACCCCTTTGTGATCGACTCTCTGGATCCCTCGCGTACACCATTTACTGCAGATTTTTCATTGCAGCAAACTTCTTTAACTGACACATGAAAACTAGGAGATGCTACAGAAGCTGGAATTGGCAATGGCAGTACTGGAGGAACAGGAAAACCTCCATACTTGTCAAAATCAGAATCTGTAACTACTATTTTAACAACAAGATTCTTCCTTGCCATCTCGATGTGCAAAAAGGACTTCAACTTAGCGTCAAAAACTATTTTCTGAAGGGCATCCATGGCAGCAACTGCAAATTTAACAGTTGAGAAGCGTGCAAAACCCTTAGGCTTATCTCCCTTGAAGCTCAAATGTGAATCTTAAAAACATGAAAGCCATCTCAAAAAATTCTGCAACTCTCTCTCTTTAACATCTTCAGGCAGACCCATAATGAAGATAATACAAACCTCATCATGATGAGAAAGGTGAGATGACAGAGAATGCGCAGCTACAAAGGGTGAAGGAACTTGAACCGGAGGTCTCATCTTGAGAGAAGGTAGGATTCCAACACTTGGCATGATGACTGACTGTTGAAATAAAACACCTAGAGACTTGACAAACTGTCCTGGATTTTGAATGTAGATTTGAACGAAAAAATCAAAGTAAAATGCTAGGTAAGATATGCCTCCATACGTGAAAACCCAGAGCCAGTAACTACGATCTGGAAAAATAAGTTTTTCTCAAGAATATCCGTTGACCAACAGTGATTATTCACAGTAGAGAACTTGGGTTTTTGTCACGAGCTTTCGACGAGTATAATGGAACAGTTAAAACGAAACTCGGGAAACTGCTGGTGGAAAAGAACGATGAAGAAAGGCAAGTAGATTTGCTCCTATTGAAAAGGAATCTAACAAAAATAACCAAGAAAAATGAAACGATGTGGGTAGACGAATATCCTTGAGAAAAATGGCGTCAAAAGATGGTCGGAGTACGACGGTGGACGGTGGTCGGAGTGCGGCGGTGGATGTGGTCGAAAGACGACGAACGGCGTTCGAAGGACGGCGGACGACAAGCGACTGGAGGTAGAAGACTAACGATGGATGACGGTAGTGAGGGATGTATAAACAACACCCATATTTTCTCTCTCCCTTGGAAATTTGAAATTTGAAAACGCCTAGGTTAGAGAGAAGCTCAGCTTCTCTCACTTCAAGATTTTTGGCTGATTTTAATGGGGGCCATTTCAATTCTTTGTTTATGCAAGCACACTTTTTGTATCCCTCTTTTACATCTAACAACCAAATCTAAAAGATACAACACCATGGCACACCAAACATGAAAGTGAGACATCCATATTCCTCCTCCATTGACGGATGAACGATAATCGATCAATAATCAATCACCGCCAACTTGTCTCTTCCATGAGTCTTCCACAATCAACTCATTAACTCCCCAATCTTCATAACTGAAATATTATTATACCAAAGGTTAATCCATCATAAATGCATCAAAATGCAGCAGGTAAATGAAAACACTATCAAAACCCAAACCTCATGCTCCAGGCCCAGACCTCAAACTACAAAGCAATAGCATCAGCTAAAGCCTGCCCAAACCTCATGCTCCAGGCCCAGACCTCAAACTACAAAGCAATAGCATCAGCTAAAGCCTGATGATAGATTATATACAAAGTAAATACTAAATCTCACCTTCCATCAGGCAAGTAACGCCTAATGGTGAAGGGTATTTTCCGCTCTCGAAGTTGCTTCATGGCAATCTATTATAAAAGCCAAAAAAATAGTTATAGTGAAGTAAAAGCAATATATAATACAGTTTGTAGGATAAATAATCGAGAGCATTGTCACAAATCATGCAGCTCAGAATGTGTTACAGGAATGTAAAAAATAAAAATACAAACTTGCGTATGACTTAAATTGTAGAGGTGATGCAAGAAGTGCTAATATTAAACATGACACAACGTGATTAAATAATACACAACACAAACAAATAACTAAAACACGACAACGAAAAGAACAAGACAGAATAGACAAATGTCTCTAAACTCATAGAACACATCGAATTAACATATCAAAATTTATATGAACATAAAACATCTTAAATGCAATTATAACACTATAATACACGAATACAATATGGATACACAAATTGTCAAGTCCAAGTGAAGCAGTGGAAAGTGGAAAGAAAGCAGGCAAATGAAGTAAAAGAGATAGTAAAAATTTGTGACAATCAAAGAACTTTCGAACACAGAATATATAGAGAAACCTACAGAAAACAGTTGAATGAAACTAAAGCCAATCATGTTTCAGTTGTAACAAGATGCAATATGAGATCGATAAAACCAGGGCAAAACCATTATTATTTGCCTAGCTAAGAGATTATGATATTTCATGTCTTCTTATCCCATTCAGCATGAGAAGTGTTAAACATAACATGCATCTAGGAATCATACTCCTTATATACAATCTAAAAACTTCTTTAGACCAATATGAAAAGAATGAAAAAGAGATCTATGTCCAATTCACACATCATTACACATAACATCTATTGTCAAACAGTTATGAGTGTCGTAATCACATATAAGTAGTCAAACTGCTAGTGCTTTAGTATCAAGCTCACCTGTAGTTTTGTCGATTGTTTACAAGGCAGAATATAACAAAGAGAGCATAATATACGACAAAATAGTCATTAGCATAATCTTACCTCGAGCGAGTCAGTCTCTCCCTCCATCTCAACTATAACTGGAGCATTCATACTGTTCAGAGAAAAAACATTTTACACCATATAAGACAATTGAAAACCATAAACCCCATCCCCTTTGAAAATATAAAGAATCTAAAGTTAAACTTTGAAAATACTGTTCTTATTTGCAGAGCACGGGTGCCCAAGATTCTAGCACGCACATATTTGGTCATATACTTCGATGTTTTGCGAGAAGCTTTGTCTTTTGCATCCTGGTTGTCTTTTTCCTCTGTTTCAATAGGTTCCAAAGGAACATCATAATTGTTATTATTTTCTAAATCCTCCTCGACTCCTTCCTGTCCACCATAAAGATAACCCAGTACACAATAAATAACTTCTATCACTTATGATTTCTTTCTAACACAGACGTACTTACTTCAATCTCAGGCTCTGGTGGCTCATCCTCCTAACTTTAGCAACAATTTCAACAACCAACGGTCAAATTTTGAGAAAAAAATGCTGCAACATTAACATTAAAGACGAAAGCAATTGAAAAAAAACAACAGTACAATCGAAGAACAAATCGTAAAACCCCACTTTTCGAATTTCCTTTACTTATCAGAACTTCAACAGAAACTGAAAAAATAATCCAATAGTCGAAACCAAGGCATTGGAAAGAAACAAAACAAAAAACAGAGAAAAATGTTATAGAGAGGGAGAGAGATAGAACCCCATATCCATGTCGTTATAGTCATCATCCTCTGCTTACCGCTATCAGAAACCCTAACCAAATAAAGTAAGAGAGGTTTTGTTATGTTGTAAAATCCATTAAGTAGACGTGAGTTTATTTAATAAAAGATCCCTCAGGTTTGTCAAAATATGACTTGTTACCCTGGACTTCTACAAAATATCCTTATAAGACCCCGTTTAATTTTTCTTTTTCTCGAAATTTATTGAGTATATTTAGACACCATAGAGTAATTACAATAACCTAAGTAATTGTTAAAATAATAATTATATGCATGAACCAAGTGAACTCAGTAGTTAAACGGATAATTGTTATCTTTAGAGGTCTCGGATTCGAATACGACCTTTACAAGAATGTTTGAGTATTCATTGTCAAATGATTGAAGGTCTTTTCGGTTTCGAAGCCCTAAAAAAAAGAACATCTCTCTGAATTACAAAAATTAACCACCAGACATCTGAACTTGTGGTCGTGTCAGCCTTCAATCGGAATGAAATAAACCACATCAAGTATATTAACTTTTCTTTCGAAACTCGGATTTTTATTCGATTAATATGTCACCGATGATGTACAGGTTATACAATTTGTTACCGTCAGTGTATCAAATATTAATCCGTATTTTATGTGAATTTATGGGTCGTAGAGGTTGTACATTTCCTACTGGTTGGATCATTTTGGCTTGTACACCAGCAGTTCATTTGAACCCCACGAAATACGACGATGACATTTGATCCATGCGATAGAAGGTATGCTTTAGTTCATTATCCGAAAGCAAATTTGAAGACAATTTGCTTTGATTTTATACTAATTAGCAGATGCATGATGAACAAAAATCAGACAGGAAAGATGATTAAGTTAAGAGAGATTATTCTGCATTTAATCGTTCGAAACGAAGTAATATTGTACAAATCACAACTGTGTTTCGGTGGACGGCGACGAAGGACGAAAATATTAGTTGTCATGCAAAATTATTAGTTGTCATACAACTAATAATAGTTGTATAATGCATAATAATGGTTCATAGTTGGCACTAATAATGGTTGAAAAGTGACATGGTAAAATCTCACATTTAGTTATTATAATTTAGGGTATTTTCAAGATTAGTCCTTAAAGCTTCTACTATAAATACCCTGACTCATTTAGCTTCAAAACCATCTCAAAGTATTATAGCTTTCTTCCAATACTAGAGAGAATTTAGAGAGTTTCTTGAGAGTTGTTTTCTTTTTTATCAAGAGAGAATTATCATTGTTTTCTCCTTGGTAGATTGAGAGAAGTTGTAATTCCTATTTTCTCATAGTGAAATTCTTCTACCATTACCTGTGGTTTTTACCCTTTATTATTTAGGGGTTTTCCACATAAATTTTGTGTCTCTTTTATCTTCATTTTTATTTTCTCAAATTATCAGTTGTGATTTTACTTTATTCGATAACCGTCGCAATGTTGAGGGATGCAGGCCTAGAGAGATCATTCTGGGCAGAAGCAGTCAATACCGCCTGTTATTTGGTGAATCAAGCTCCATCAACTGCAATAGAGCTGAAGACACCAATGGAGATGTGGACTGGTAAACCAGTTGATTATTCAAACCTCCATGCATTTGGAAGTATTGTGTACGTGATGTACAACGCCCAAGAAATTTCAAAGTTGGATCCAAAATCCAGGAAATACAAATTCTTGGGGTATGTTAATAGAGTAAAGGGGTATCGCTTGTGGGATCCCACTGCCCGCAAAGTGATCATTAGCAGGGATGTTATCTTTATAGAAGAGAAAAGAAGACGATGATAGCGCTGAAAAGTCAGAGACTACACAGATACATGTGGAAAAGGAGTTTGAACAAGGAGATTCTTCTGAAGTAGAACCAGCATATGATGAACAAGAACCAGAGAGTTCTGAAGTTCCAACAACTCGTCAATCAGATCGTGTGAGAAGACGTCCCAATTGGCACTCAGATTATGTTATAGAAGGTAATATTGCATAATGCCTTTTAACAGAGGACGACGAGCCATCAACATACTAGGAGGCAATAAACAGCTCAGATGCTTCAGTGTGGATGATGGCGATGCAAGAAGAAATTGAAGCCCTTCATAAAAATAAATACATGGGACCTTGTGCCACTACCACAATGAAGGAAACCAATTGGTAACAAATGGGTCTTCAAAATCAAGCGAAATGGTGACGATCAAGTGGAGAGGTATCGTGCAAGACTGGTGGTCAAAGGATATGCTCAAAAATAAGGTATTGATTTCAATGAAATATTTTCTCCTGTGGTTCGACTAACAACAGTTCAAGTAGTTTTGGCAATGTGTGCTACATTGAACTTACATCTAGAGCAGCTAGATATTAAAACAGCTTTTCTTCATGGAAATCTTGAAGAAGAGATTTACATGTTCCAGCCTGAAGGTTTTGAAGATAAAGAAAAGAAGAACTTGGTTTGTAGGTTGAACAAATCTCTGTACGGTCTAAAGCATGCGCCGAGGTGTTAGTATAAGAGATTTGATTCCTTCATTATGTGTCTTGGATACAACAGACTTAATGCAGACCCTTGTGCTTATTTCAAGAGGTCTGGTGATAACGATTTTGTTATATTACTGTTGTATGTGGATGATATGTTGGTTGCAGGACCCAACAAAGATCATATTAAAGAATTGAATGCACAATTGGCTATGGAATTTGAAATGAAGGACTTGGGATCAGCAAACAAGATTCTAGGGATGCAATTTCACCGTGACAGAAGTAATAGGAAGATTTGGCTTTCACAAAAGAATTACTTGAAGAAGATATTGTCACGATTCAACATGCAAGATTGTAAGCCAATTTCTACCCATCTTCCTATTAACTTCAAATTATCTTCTAGTATGAGTCCTAGCAGTGAAGAAGTGAGGATGGAGATGTCTCGAGTACCATATGCATCAGTAGTGGGAAGTTTAATGTTCACTATGATATGGACAAGACCAAACATTGCACAAGCAGTGTGAGTGGTTAGTCGATACATGGAGAATCCAGAAAAAGAGCATTGAAATACAGTAAAGAGGATCCTGAGATACATCAAAGGGACCTCAAATATTGCATTATGTTGCGGAGGATCAAACTTACTAATTAATGGGTATGTAGATTCTGACTATGCAGGGGATTTGGATAAAAGCAAATCTACTACATGATATGTGTTCAAAATTGCTGGTGGAGCTGTAAGCTGGGTTTCAAAATTACAGTCAGTTGTGGCTACATCCACAACAGAGGCAGAATATGTAGCAGCTACACAAGCCAGTAAAGAAGCAATTTGGTTAAAGATGCTATTGGAGGAGCTTGGGCACAAGCAAGAGTATGTCTCTCTGTTTTGTGACATTCAAAGCACTTTGCATCTAGCAAGGAATCCAACATTTCATTCAAGGACAAAGAACATATGAGTTTAATACCATTTCATTCGTGAAAAGGTGGAAGAAGGGACGGTAGATATGCAGAAGATCCATACCAAAGACAACATAGCAGATTTCATGACGAAGGTGATCAACGCTGATAAATTTTTCTAGGCCTGCATCCCTCAACATTGCTCTTGTTCTTTCTAACAAGGTTCTGTTCATCCGCTCTGCCACTCCATTTTGTTGAGGAGTGTTTGCCACTGTAAACTGTCTTTTGATGCCTTCTTTCCTGCAAAAGTCATCAAATTCTTCACTTGTGTATTCTCCTCCATTATCTGTTCTGAAACACTTGATCTTATTTCCAGAATCAAGTTTCACCCGCGCTTTGAAGTTTTTGAAAGTGGAAAACACATCTGACTTCTTCTTAATAGGGTACACCCAACATCTCCTGGAGTAGTCATCAATAAATAAGACAAAGTATTTTGCTCCGCCTAGGGATGTAACTGGTGCTTGCCATACATCAGAGTGAACCAATTCTAGAACACTTTTGGCTCTAGAATTTGACGTGTTGAATTTTAACCGGTGCTGCTTACTTGTTATGCAATGCTCACACAAAGGAAGTGATACCTTTGTTAAGCCTGGAAGTAGCTTTTTCTCCACAAGGACTTTCATTCCTTGTTCTGACATATGTCCAAGTTTCTGATGCCATAGCATTTCAGAATCTGAACTACATGAGGCAACAGAGGCTTCTGCTTCTAGCAAAGTTTCTCCCTTCAGTATGTACAAGTTTGCAGCTATCTTTTCGCCTTTCAGCACCACAAGCGCTCCACATAACACCTTCATGATTCCTTTTCGTGTTTCAATCTTACTTGCATTATTATCCAACAATCCGTAGGATAATAAATTTATCTTCAGGCCTTTCACGTGCCGCACATTCGAACAACTTTAATTGTTCCATCTTACATCTTCAATTTGATGGTTCCCACGCCAATGATCTCTAAGGCATGATCATTGCAACTATACACAGATCCTCCTGAGACAGGTTCATAATGATAAAACCATTCTCTTCTTGAGGTCATGTGATATGTTGCTCCCGAATCAATGAGTCATATGTCTGCATATCTCTTTCTACCTTCTACGGTGGTTGACGCTTCACAGCATAGAGCATCTCCATCATCTGAAGTGTTTGTAGTATTGCCTTGTGGATTGGAGTTTTTATTTAGACTCTAACAATCCTTCTTCAAGTGACCCTTCTTTCCACAGTTGTAGTACTTTAAATTCTTCTTGCTTCTCGACTTCGATCTACCATGTTTGTGACTGCTGCTTTGGCCACTTTCTGTTGATCTCCCTCTCATCGTTGTCAACGCTTCTGCTTGTTGCAGATTTACTTGTCCGTCTTCCTTGTTCTTGCGCCGATTTTCTTCTTGTAGAACAGCAGCTGCAACGTCATCGAAGACTAGACTGGTGACATTACTGTTTGTCAAGTTGATGATGAGTTGATCATACGAATCCGGTAGACTTTGAAGTAGAAGTTCAACACGTTCTTGTTCTACTATTGTACAACTTAAGGATGTAAGCTGAGAAAATAAACTATTCAGTGTGTTTAAGTGCTCCGTCACTGAAGTAGATTCTAAAATCCGGAGAGTGTACAATTTCCTCTTAAGGAAAATTTTATTGTTCAACGATGTGGCCTCGTACAATTTGGTGACATGATCCCATATCTCCTTAGCTGTCTTTTTCTCCTCGATGCTTGATAATACTTCATCTGCTAATGCTAGATGAAAGTTTGTAATAGCATTCCCGTCCATTTCGATCCATTTGTTGTCGTATGTAAAATCTACCGGCCTTTCACTGATAGCTGCTAGACAACTGTCTTTCCTCAGGATGGCCTTCATCTTCAATTTCCACAATGAGAAATTTGTCCCATTAAATTTTTCAATATCAAATTTTGTTGCCATGGCTTCTATTACGGATAGCTCCCACTATTTCACTATCGTGAATAGTTCTCTGGAACCTTCAAAGAATGGGTAATACCTTCTTACTTTCTTATGTTGGAGGATCCACCTTTTAGTGGCAACCACAAAGACAATAAGCAGATATTACACACTCAAATTTGGCTCAGATACCAATTGTTGCGAAAGACGGCTATCGAATAAAGCAAAATCACAACTTATAATTTGAGAAAATAAAAATGAAGATAAAAGAGACACAAAATTTACGTGAAACCCCCTAAATAATATAGGGTAAAAACCACGGGCAACGGTAGAAGAATTTCACTATGAGAAAATAGGAATTACAACTTCTCTCAATCTACCAAGGAGAAAACAATAATAATTCTCTCTTGATAAAAAAGTAAACAACTCTCAAGAAACTCTCTAAATTCTCTAGAGTATTGGAAGAAAGTTAGAATGCTTTGGGAAGGTTTTGAAGCTAAATGAGATAGGGTATTTATAGTAGAAGCTTTAAGGACTAATCTTGAAAATACCCTAAATTACAATGACTAAATGTGAGATTTTGCCATGTCACTTTTGTCTTCATTTTTATTTTCTCAAATTATCAGTTGTGATTTTGCTTTATTCGATAGCCATCTTCCGCAACAGGAAAGGCAGCTAGACAGCCGGGAATGTTGTTTCCTAGGGCTTCCACGTTCGAATCTCCCGTGAAAAAAAAAACAGAGCTCGATCAAGAATAATACTACTGAAGGGTGGAATATTTGTTGAATAATATTGCCAACGCTAGTGTACTTGCCATCATGGAATTCTGCATATATACATATGCTACAGCTGGTAATTATCAAATGTTGGTATCCGGTAATCTAACATTTATCATAAGAGATTAAAATATATTCGAGTTGCAGTCGGTATCCGGTTCAATGGTGAAGCCGAGTGGGATGCCGCAAAAGCCCGGCAAAGTAGCAATCGCGGTGGAATTGGGATTGTTAGCGGTGATGAGCCCCATTAAGCACCAGCAAAGCGATCTCCGGTTAGCGGTGGAACGAGTCATCAAGCTGAGGTTGGTTATGGCCTCGCAACAGGGTGAACCAGGATAAGGGTCAGGTGAACCGTAGGTGATGAAGGTGGCGCAGACCGAGATTAGGTCCGTCACGGTGGTGCAGTCCACTGCTGCACCTATTGAAGTAGAACATGAAAGCAACATCAACACCGGCATCATAAATTTATGAGGCCCCATTTATATCAGTTTTTTTGGACCTTATCCCCGCTAGTCTTGCAGATGAGTATATATCTTTGATTTAAATTTGGGTCGTTGTGCAATGGAAAACGTGTGTGGTTCATCAAGGTTGAATGACAATCTGCATAATGATTTTTTTTTTGAGTTAAACAATGCTAGTGATGTTTATATAATTTATTATAATTTTTCGATAGAAAAATTGGTTAAAAGCTCTCCACTCCATTTACACATCTATCTCATAAAATACGATATTAATAAGATAAATTTATTAATTTTAAGCTCATCATATACAGACATACACACAACATAAATCCATTGTTCTGATGATTAAACAAAGCCAGGACTGAAAACACAGCACCCGTAAGCTCTAACAATGAAATGACAAATTGCATGTAAAAAGAAGACTGAAGAAGAAGAAGAAGCATTTAATTAATGTTATCCATCTGCCCGGTGTTAGTTGTTTTGATCGCATTCCCATCTAGACGTGTGGACACAGCTGAGGTAGTGACACCAACTGCAATGTTCATTTCTGTCTTCTCCCAGGAACAGCACCGTCGGTGCAACTCCGAGTCTGCGTAATTAACGACACATGACAATATCAGAACTCTTCGTATCGAAAGCATGTTTTATCTTAATGGTACGTGATTAGGAATGGTTGGTTGATTTCTTACCCTGCAAGCAACAGCACCATTGAAGCCACCCGCATGACGTATTGGTAAGGCTTGTACTTCGATTTCAAACGAGTCCCGACCGGAACATTCCGGCTCTCAAACCACCCTAACTGAGGATGAGGTAGTAGGAAGAACCCTAGTAGAAAGCCTGTTAAAAACCCGCCGATATGTGCGAAATTGTCGACGTGTGGCAGAATCCCGATCGCGAGGTTAATCGCAATGATGACCAGAAGAGTTAGTAAAGCTGAACCCTGCGGAATGCAACAACAACGGTAGTAAGCAATTGAAAGGGTCTAGTGGTTCAACATTGTATTGTACATGTGATGAAGCGGAACAGTTTTATAATGTTTCACCTTGTTTGTGTATATGGTCCAGTTTGTGATCTGCTCGGACAGTATAGCGCCGAGAAGTCCAAAAAGAGCACCGGAGGCACCGACGGAGATGCTGTTTCGGATAAATAGAGACGATAACACGCTGCCACCGAATCCTGACAAGAGGTAAAGGATTCCAATCCGAACTGCCAAATTGTGAAGTAGTAACAACACATCAGATATCTACACGACTAAGAACTAGCCTTGATATAAGCTTCAACCAGAAGGTGAAACATACCGAACCCAAACTGCTGTTCGAGGCGAATACCGATGAAGCTGAGCATGTGTGCTAGGAGATGAATGACACCGGCATGTAGTCAGATGCATGTTATAAGCCTCCATCCTTGATGGTTTACCACAACCTTGCTCCACTCGACAGCTCCCAATTTCTGCAATCTGTAAGAAAGTGAAAAACAAATCTTCATAGAGCAGAGATTTCAACAATTCAATCCAAAAAACATACAAGGAGTGACCAGGAAATTTACGTAGAAGAAGAGGGACCGAAGAGAGGGTTATCTCTCAAAGGCTGAAAAGAAAAACGACCGAGAAACCTCGCCACACACCCGCCGACGACAGGCCTCGTTTGATTTTGCTTCGGACAATTGTTGAGATACATAACGATTACAAAAACAGTAACATTAGCCACCACGAACATAGGCACCAACCACGATGTCCATTTACTCTCTCTACCTTCTATCATGTAGCCAACGCCGCCGCTATTATTAATGCTATTGATGTTTCTCTTCGCCCTTCCTCCCCTGTTCTCTACATCATCCCCAGCCATTTTAACCCTAATACAAGAAACAGGAAAAGAAAAAAAAAGCAGGCCTTTTGGATTTTGGGTACTTCTGTATATCCAGAAACTGTAGCTAGATTGTTTGTTTAATAGAAAACACTAGTTTTGTTCCTTTCTGGTCTTGTGTTGTTTTTGAGGTTGTTTTAAACTGTCGCAGTTTGCGAGGAAATCGGGTGTCTTAGAAGACTCGACGTGATCATGTTTGATTGGCACGTAAGAAGCGTAAAGTTCGGTCATTTACGAGAAGAGAGGTGATTGGTTGTTGCGGCTCCTAACTGTGCACGCTAGCTTTGCCAGTTACCTCATCTTTCGGTTTTGGCAGTTATTTTAACCCAACCCTCTTGTCCTGTCTCTCCTTTGCTTAGGGTGTTATATGTGATCTTGATACACAATGACGTGAAAATCGACGGTGAAAATCCACCATCTAGCCTACTTATGGTTCGCATGCGAAGCTCATGTATTGGTTGCGAGCCTACATAGACATTGTAGTTGTTGAGTAGAAAATATCGAAAGGACCAGCATGGCCTACATCAGGCAAGTGATTGAGGTGCCAACTCCACCTGCTATTTCCTATCAGTAGACGCTAAGCATACACTATTCAGAATGAAAGCAATATTTTTTCTCATATTTTTTATTATGGAAAGTTGCTTTTGGATAGTATAAAAATACTTTCTTAATGTTTAAGTGTTTAATAATTTTTTTTATAAAGTACATAAATGATTCAATGACTATAAGATATTATTTAGTTGAGTACTTGATTATTAAAAGTTATAAAATAAATTTCAAACTATAAGGAGTTGCTTTGTTGAGACTCTCGACTATTAAAAGTTACAAATAATCCCAGACTATAGGGAGTTGCTTTGTTGAGTCCCTAGACTATTAAAATTTATGAAATGGTCGCTCGACTATTCATTATATTCCAAACTCGTCCTTTTATGTTAAAAAATTAACGACAGTCTGAGTTTGACGTTAACATACTAACTAAGATTTGATAAAATCTTATATCATAATCTCCAACGACTATCATATCTCAATCAGCATATTAACGTCCATCTCAGACAATCATTAATTTTTTAACGAAAAAGAACGAGTTTGGAACATAATGAATAGTAGATTCATTTTGTAACTTTTAATAGTCGAGTGACTCAACAAAGTAACTCCCTATAGTTGAGGGATCATTTGTGTACTTTACCCATTTTCTTTTAACGATTTTTAATGTTTTGCGTGGTTTCGTCTTAAACTTTAAAGCGCAATTAAATGGTGGTTTTAGATTAACTTGAAATTTTGGCTACAAGTTAAAAATGAAATTAATTTAAGTTTGGAACATGGAAATTTAATATTTTCAAGAGGTACTGAAATATTCTTTTAGATTTTAAATTTGGTCCCTAGAAATCAATGTTTCTACAGTTTTCATAGATTGAAATCTCCGATTGAACTGATATTTGATACAGTACCACTTGGGATAATGTTACAATTTTTTATTATGCTAATTTTGTGGTTTGATATGGTTTATGAAAGTATGGCAGGAAATACCGAAAACACCCTTTTATATGTTTATACTCTTTTCCGTAAAACTTGTGCATGTCCCTAGCTTATACTTAGCTGGAAAATAAGGTATGTTCTTCGTTGTATGATTAAGTTTTTTTCTTTCTTTTTTGTTTTATGCAATTCTATGATTAAGTTATTTGAATGAATATAATTGTAACATCTCAAACTACGGGATAGTGACTAAATTGTCAAACTTCAGAATTTGGTGATTAAAATAAAATAGTTGAATAGTTAAGAATTTATTTGGAGATATTTTATGAATTATTGATAGTAATTATTAAATGAAGTAAAGGGTAAAATGGTCATTTGACATGAAAGATTTTTTATTTTCCTATATTAGATAAGGAAGAGAGAAGATTTCTCCAAAAAAATTTCTTCTTCCTCCTCCTCAGACGTGAGCTACCAAAGGCAAATGTGAGTTTATTTGTTAGCTAATTATTTGTTGATTTAAAGAGTGGGTTTTGATCCTTAGGTGATACTTAAGCTTAAAGAAAGCTTAAGTTATCTTATAGTCAAAAGATGAAGAAGTTATAAGAGTTTAAAGAGAAGGGGTGTTTAAATGAATTTCTGGAAAAGAGTTGATAAGTTGAATTCGAAACTAAATTTGACTTGTCATCAACCTAATTAAGAGATATGAAGTGTTAGAACTGGAATTAGAACATGTTGCAAAGTTGGTGTAATTCTTGAATTTTATATGGATGATAGGATTTTGAGGTTTAAGATGTGATAAATGAGTAATAATGGATACAAGTAAATGGATGTGAGTTAAGAATATGTAAGAGGGTGGAATATGAAGTTTTTGAGCTAAGTTAAGTAATTTTCGTGCATAAAATATGAATTCTGGGCTGGTGTGTATCGGTACACATTCAACATGTACTGATGCATCAAGGGTAAATTTCCAGAAATTATTTAGTGTATATCGATGCACAGGAAGTGTATCTATGCACCCCTTTAAATGAAAAACATCGAATGTAATTTGTGTATCGATGCATAGTTAGTGCATCGATACATATGTTAAGGAATGTACCGATACACTACAGAGTGTATCGATGCCTACCTTGAATAAAAGATGAAATCAACATTTCTTTTAGTCTAAGGAGTGAACAATTAGAATATTGATATGGATCCATGCATGTTTATGTAGATACTATACGTAATCCCGTTCCAGAACAATTGAAGAATTAGGATCGATTCAAATCAAGCAAGGCTAAGATCAGTGCATAATATAGGGATAATCTAATGGAAATAAGCCTTGCGATGAGTTTATTTCCTAGGTCAATTTCATAATATAATAGTTATGAACATGCATACATTATAGTCTTTATTAAATATGCATAAGTCATATAGGTTTACATATGATTTGATATATGTTATATGACTCATGTTATATGATATAAGATGGATGGTAATACACACATGTGAATGTGATTAAAGAAAAGATATATGTGATCACAAAGGAAATGACATGAGTACATGTTTATATGAAAAATAATATTAATGCACATGTCATGTAATATGAGAGCTCTAGGTATAGTTGGCATGCCAAGAGTTGAGGGTTTCATAGGTCCTTCGGGACATATTCACAGATCCTTCGGGACAAATTTCATATGCCACTTAGTGGGAATTATACAAGCTGTGGTGACAGCAGACGTGCACAACCTCTATGCACTCGAATACCTTAAGTTCTCTATATATACATGGGCCTATAAATAATGTGAAAAGTGTATATTTCATTATATGTTATAGTATCAATATTGTTTATAATGAATCATATGAAATGATATGGAATTCTGAATAGTATGTTATATGTTCATACTCATAAGAAATGCATTATCATTATAAGTTTATGTCTCACTAAGTCTATGACTTAGCGTGTAAGTGATTTACACGTAGGTACATAAAAGTAAGAAGACCGGTCTTAGGAGCAGCAAAGCAACATATCATCATTTGAAGATCAGATCAGAAACACCTTATATAGTATGTCCGCTTATGTAATATATGTGTTAGCATGTAAATAGAATCATATAGTATATATGCTCTGATCGAGTTTTGTAATGTTTTAAACGTATTTATGTAAATGGTAATTTATAGTGATGAAAGCTTAAATTTTTATGAGTTTTATATAAGTTGAGCTGAAGTTACTGTAGTAGTGCATCGGTACACTGTAGCAGTGCATCGATACACAATTTATATTCGATGTTTTTGTGCATCAGTACACTGTAGCAATGCATCGGTGCACTGTAGCAATGTATCGGTACACTGTAGCACTGTTCAATACTGTTTACGGTACTATTTGCACAGTATCAGTACTATTCATACATAATAGTACTATTCATAAAAATATTTTTACCTTAAATTTGTTATAATGAAACATAATTTAATAGTATATTATTGTATTTTCTTAATATAAGTCCAAATGTTCTATTATTTTGTAAAAATATTATTTTAAAAAGTCAATGTGACATCTCAGACTTGTATCCATGTCGGGTACGGATTGGAGGTGTTACAATAATATTTACTTAATCATGTATTTAAATTATTTTTTAAGCAAAAATCTATATCAAGTGACTTAAATATAACATCTAATATTTAGTTCAGATGGTTCAATCCTCTCATGTTGCCATCAAATATTTGAGGCAATGTTAAAATATGTTACATTTTAAACGATTGAAATCAGATTTGAATATTAAAAAAAATAATATAATTTAATATAAAATTTAAACGATAGAAAAAGGAGAATGAAATTAAATTAAATTATAATATTTGATGAAAAAACATGAAAAATAAAAATCATTTTATGTATTTCAAAATTTTGTCCTGACTAATTTGGATAGTCCTGTATCATAAACCTAATTTGGATGGTGAGTTTCACAACAAATATTTTCTACATATATAAAATATCAAACTCAAAATTTATTTAAATGATATTAAATTGTTTATCATTTGAACTAACTCTGATGATAATCATTCTCTTTTATCCTAGCGTATGAACAAATTGTTTCAAATTAAATGATAATCCTAAAGAAAATAAGAAATCAGAGCAAGTGTAGAGAACGAGTTACCTACAACTTGGACGAGCCATCATGGGCTAAACGATCGGCCCGACTGCCACCGTCAACTGAAGGCTATAGTAGTTGGTTCATAAGAGGCATACACAAAATCGGCCCAACCGCCGTCACCGTCAAACGAGGCTATAGGATTGTGAGAGAAATAACTGTCCATAACCCATTTACGAATCCCCAAAAGTCCGGCCAAGAAACACTTGCACAAATTTAGCGCGTGGGAGTAGAGTAGGGCGGGCATCCCGAACGCGATTTTGGGGGAGTGAGGCCCACTCTATACTGTACTAATGCTGAAGCTCTTCGGTTTTTCTCTCTACGCGGTTCTCCGCTCACGATTAATTTCTTGTAAGAAAATTAAAAGAAAAAACAAAGTTGAATATTTTATTATATAGTTTCCTCTGTCCTTTGACTCTGAAACAGATCCCAACAATTCAGAGGAGAAAGAAGAGAGAGAAAGAGAAGTTTCCAAGGATATGAATAGCATGTAATCTTTGATTCTTTCTTTACTCTTTGTTGAAAACCACTGATTTTTGCTTAAAGTCGATTATATTTATTTTTAAAAGGTAAAGCTAACATTTGTTTAATCTCTTTCAACTCCTGTAATGAGTTTGGGTTCTTGTTTATGTGCATTTATTGCTTACAGCTTGTTGTTTTTAATGCCTGCATTGCAAAAGGGAGAGAAAGAAGGTCAACTGGGTGTTGTTTTTCATTGGTTAGTATTGATCGTTGTGAATGAGAAAGTTGTAAGCTTAGCCTTTTTGTGTTCTGTGCTCTTTTTTCTCTGGTTTACTGGGGTCGTTTTCATTATTTTTCTGTCAAACATATTGACAAACACTTGGTCAAGCAAGTTGCTGGGAAAATTAGGGTTTTTTTCTCATGTTAGTCATAATCTTCTGGCGTTTTCAGCGATTTTCACAGGTAGAGCTTTTAGCTATAAAAGGACCAAAAGAAGGTGTGAACCGTGGACTCTTTGTTTATATTATAAGATAAAAAAAGTGGACCTTTTTTGTCCTGTTCTACGGCTGTTTTTTTTCTCTTTCTTGCTTTCTTTCTTTCGTTAGAGAGAACACAGTAAATGTCAAACAATTAGATACATTGCAGTCATGCATGGGCGTTAACGAGGAGAGGCTTTTCTTTTCTTTTGTTCATTCACCATTTGAGGAAGATGAAATTGTTCAAAAAAGGTTGGGACTTTGTGGAGAAAGAGAAACGAAATTAAAGATTTTTTCCCTCCTCATTTAATGAGTTTTGGGTGTTTGATCAAGTGTAGTACTACTGCCAGCAGCAACAGTGTTGATATTGGTGCAAGTATACTTGTGGCTGATATTGTTCCGTACGGCAACATGCTAAGTGGTGGTGATGATGCCATCATTGAGCTACCACAATCTCTTCTCACCCAACATATTCCATACCTTATGCAGAACTCCCCTTCCCTATCAGTCCCCTATGTACTAAGCCGGGTTTGTTCTTTAACAAACAAGTTCTTGGGCTGGCCAACATCTTCCTCGGAAAGTCCTATTGCTTCCCAAGGCTTAAACTCCAATTTGGAGCTTGCAATGGGTAGAAATGGTTTTGGTGGCTTGAACAATGCAGGCACTTCATTGCCAATGGAATTCAACTTCTGTGATGGGGCTATGTTGCCGTTGATGAAATCTAGGTCCCATGAAATGCCATATGACAGGTCAGCCATTGTAGATTTTGCTTTGGCGGCTTTGGATGAATTAATTAAGTTGGCACAGATGGACAATCCTCTTTGGATCAAAGACCTGGATTGTGGGATCGAAACATTGAATCTCAAAGAGTACAGTAGAACTTTCTCCTCTTGCATTGGCATGAAACCAAGTGGCTACACAACTGAGGCCACAAGGGAAACTGGCCTGGTTTCCTTGGGTGGCCTGGCTCTTGTTGAGGCATTAATAGATGCGGTATGCCACCCATTCACTTGTTCCAATGCTTTTATAGTTATGTTAAGCATAACTGCCCATCTGCTGTTATGAACGATCGAATCTTAAAAAAAGGAATATCGTTTGAAAATTGTTGTTTGACATGGTCTTTTTCTGCTACTTTATGAATAGAATCGTTGGGCAGAAATGTTTCCATGCTTGATTTCTAGAGCAGCAACCATCGAAGTTCTATCCACTGGTACAGGTTTAGCCAGAGACAACGCATTGCAAGTGGTATTTTTTTCTACCATCCATCTTTGTTTCTTTAGCTGCTTGTCCGGGCCTTATGAAAATCATACTTTGCAGATGGATGCTGAATTTCAAGTTCTTTCTCCATTGGTTCCTTCCCGTCTAGTGAGATTCATCCGGTTCTGCAAACAGCATTCGGAGGGTGTGTGGGATGTGATTGATATTTCAATCAATACTACCCAAGATGCTGCAAATACGCATACGTTTGTCAACTGCAGGAGGCTTCCTTCTAGCTGTGTCTTCCAGGATCTGGACAATAAGTACTCCAAAGTAATTGCTAATATAAATTTTATTATGTTCTCTACTTATTTTCTTTTTCAAATAAAAACAGTGTCCTTAATATATTGATTCTCATTGAGCTTGCATTGTACTCGTTTTTTTTCCTAATAGGCATTTAATAAGGTAGTTATTATAATTACAACTTCTGAGTTTGGTTGAGGCCATATGGGGGTGAAATTATATGCACCGACTTTGGTCTCCATCTCCCTTGACTTATGCTTTGTCGAATTTAATGCTCGTTTTATAGCTCACCAGATTTCCTTCCTCTTTGATGGGGCAACTAATAAGGGATATGACAACTTCACCTAAGAATATGAAGCTTTATTCAATTATTTGTCTACTCAAGAAGATGCTAACTTGTTTTAAACCATTTAAAAGTTTTTTGGTTTCAAAGCAAATTTTTTATGTGTGTACTTAATTAGTCCACTGCTACTTGCAGAGTTGAGCAAATCAAGGTTATAATCAGTGTTTGATATTAGTATAATTTTTTGAGCATACCTTAGTTGTAATCTATTTATGCAGGCGAATCCTTGGAATTGTCTATCAGTAAATTATAATATGATGTTTCTATTCCTCTCTCCTTGTCTGCTACTGTATTTTTTAATTGTCAACAAGTTGATACGACTTGGAATCTTTAATCTTTAGAGCTCCATGTTATGTGGTCCTTGGTTTGTTTTATTTTGTTAAGGTCATCATGCATATACATAGATATATACCTTTATGTATGTGTAACCAGTGTTTTTTTTTCTGAAATCAATATTTAACCTAATAAAGAAAGCCATCTTATTTTATTAAACTTGTCTATGCTTTTTTAAGAAGTGAATTAGGATCATATGTTGATCTTTGTATGTTGTCATAACCCTCATTTTCTTTTATGATCTTTTAAGAAGTGAATTGGGATCATATGATAATCCTTCTATTTTGTCGTAACACTCATGTGCTTTTATGATCTTTTAAGTGAATTCGGATCATATGATGATCTTTTTAAGTTGCTGTAACGCCTGTGTTTTTATGATCTTTTAAGAAGTGAATCTAGTACCCTACATTTTAATTACTTCAAATTTCTGTCCCATTAATTAGTTTGATATTTTTTGCAAGAGAGTATGCTTACAAAAAGTTAAATGCAGGTTACTTGGATCGAACACTCGGAATATGATGAAAGAGCAGTTCACCATCTCTTAAGGCCATTATTCAGTTCTGGTTTAGGCTTTGGTGCACACAGGTGGATTGGCACTCTCCAAAGGCAATGTGACTGCTTGGCACTCCTGATGTCCCCCGACATCCCCGGGGAAGATAACATAGGTGATTTTTTTTTTCTACTGCTACATTATTCTTTCATCTTCCATAATAATATGTGGAATCGTCCTCGTCTTATACGTGATATTGTGCTTTAGGAATAACTCCAGCCGGGAGGAAAAGCATGTTAAAGCTTGCACAGCGCATGACAAATAACTTCTGTGCCGGTGTTTGTGCTTCAAGCGTGTTTAAATGGGAAACATTTAATGGTGGTAGCATGGTTGAAGATATGAGAATAATGAGCTGGAAGAATGTAAATGATCCTGGTGAACCTCAAGGGGTTCTGTTGTGTGCTGCTACTTCTGTTTGGATGCCGGCAACACAGAAAAGGTTGTTTGATTTCTTGAGGGATGAACGGATGCAGATTCAGTGGGACATTCTGTCCAACGGCGGGCTAATGCAGGAGATGGTCAATATTGCCAAGGGACCAGGTCATGACAACTCGGTTTCTCTCCTTCGTGGCAGTGTAAGCATTCACACCCTAGATAAACTGCATATTTCTTAGATTTTCTCATCCAATATTTTTTCTATTTCTTTTCATGCTATACCTCAGGCCATTAACACAAACGAGAACACGATGCTAATTTTACAAGAGACATTGTATGATGCCTCTGGTGCATTGGTAATTTATGCACCCCGAAGATACTAATTTTTTTACCCATTTTATTTATTTATTTATTTATTATTATTATTATTATAATAATTATTATATATATTATTATATATATTAGTATTATTATTAAAAAATAATTACAAGCCCAAATCCCAGGCCCAACCAGAACCGGCCCAGACCCAAAAGGAAACCCTAAACATTTGGGGTTTCAGCTAGGGTTTCTAAACCCTAGCTCCAGCCGCCGCCTCAAGCTTCTAGAAGCCACAGTCGTCGCTCATTGCCGACACTCCACTGCCAGGTGACCCAACCAGATGTTGCCGACGGTCTACTCTGCCACGATACCTCAACAGAAGGCTCCAGAAGACCCAACTACCCCTCCACATGTCAAGCTCTACGGTGAGTCACCACCATAGCTATGGTGACTCACCTAATCAACCTCATTGGGACCGGTCTGAAGCCATCACCGGTGGTGGCTATAAAAGCCACCGGATCCAGCAAAACAAAAAACAGACAAAGGACGGAGAGCAAAAAAAAAAAACAGAACAGAAACAAGATACAAAAAAAAAAAAAAACTACCAACGATCCCAGTCAACAACAACGCAGCAACAAAAAAAAGGAGAGAAGAGAGGAAAGAAACTTACTCTGTCATCGGAGAACCCCAACCATCGCCGGATACAACGAAAACCGAAAGTACTTTTGTAGATTTGCTCCGATTGGGAGCTTTTTAAGGAAAAAGAACACCAGAAATGGTTTTAGATCGTCCCGATCTATATTTTGGTGTATTTTTGTAATTTTCGGCCACCATTAACGGTGGCCGGCAGCGGTGGCTGACCGGGACGGCTTTCTCTCAGTTTAGAGAGAAGCCAGAGAGAACTCTGGCTCTCTCTCTGTTTGAGAGCTAGCCGATTTTGGGTATTAATACCCTCTCCCAAACGACGCCGTTTTGGGGGAGGGTTTTCTGTAATTTCATAAAGGGTAAATCCCGTTCGCAGTGCTCCAAATTTGTATACCTTGCAATTTAGTCACTGAAAGCAATTTTTGATTATTTTAATTTAGTCTTCTAATTTTATTTTATTTTAATTTAGTCCTTATCAGTATATATATATGTATATTTAGGTTAATATCAAATTTAGTCCCTCATAGTTTATTAATTATTATTTTAATCCCGTATTATGAATTATAGTTAAATTACACTTTTAATGCCCATCTTTTATATATTTCGAATTAGTACTCTAGTTTTATAATTTTATATTTTAATCATTCAAATTTTATTTTTGATTATTTTTTTATTTTTTATTTTAATATTATATTTTTAATTATTATTTGCAATATTATTTTATTATTATTATTACTTTTTATTATTATTCTTATTATTTATATAAATATATATATATATATATATATATATAATAAATAATATTTGTTTATTCGTTAAAATCTTATATTTCATAAATTACTTTTTTAATAATCATATTTTAATATATATTTATTTATTTTTCAATATTAAGAAAGGGCAGTCTTAAAATAACTGGATGTCCATTTTATGATATTTTTAAATAAATAAATATCTTATTTTATAAATTATATAGTAATTGTTTTTTATTTTTATATAAAAAAAAGAGCTGTCTTAAGGCACCTAGAAGTCCTTTTCTTCTATTTCTAAATAAATAAATATTTTATTTATAAATATATAAATTAATATATATTTTTCATAATTATAATTTTAAAATAATAGGATTATAAATTAAATATATTTTGAATTTTTAAATTTCTAATAATAGAGACAATGTATAATTAAAAGTACCAATTTTGGGCGTTGTAGGGGGTGCTAATCCTTCCCTAAACGTAACCGACCACGAATCCCTTTTTATTATTAAAAAGAATAAATTTTTGGTTATAAACGCAGATTAGTTCATCTTTTAACTGATGTTTTCTTAAAACTCTTTTAAAAGATAATTTTTAGGTATTCAACTTACCTAACTCAAAAGGTCGATGGCGACTCCCAAATTATTTTAAAAAACCATTTATTCACATCACTTTTCCCGCCGAGTAAAAATTTCGTGCCCGGACGAAAACCGGTTACGACAGCTTGGCGACTCCGCTGGGGAGTGTCAAACTTTAAAATTAATTATAAATTGTCTCTATTAATTAGAAATTAAAAATTCATTTATTTAAATTTTAATTCTTTTCTTTCAAATTTTTTATTACTTATTATTTTTATATTATTTTATTAATATTTTTTTCAGGTATTAATTATTTTATTTATCTGTTAGAGGTTTGAACATTTCTCCTCACACACAACACTTGCATTGCATAACATAAAGCTCTATAATTGAGTTTGTCCCTTTCAAGTGGGAGTGAAAGCGACGTCTTTGTGAGAATTTATTCTCTGTGTCAGACCTAGCAAGTAACTTTCGGGGTTCATATGCTCTATGTCTTCGTGAAAATTTATTCTCCGTGTCAGACATAGAGAAATGTGTCCCCTCGAATTGAACTCGATCCGCTTAAGTCTGTAATAGACTAAGATTGAGGGTTTGACAGCCCAAGGGGACATCAACGAGGACAATTCGAGTACCTTTACTCCTAGAACTGAAATTCTGTATATAATAAACCCTAGAAATTCACCTGATCTAAGACAGTACTGAACCTCTGTTCATAGGTGTACACAAAGGAGAAATAAGTTTTAATTTTTTGTCTTTTAATAAATGCATGCGAACTAGAAATCATGCGGTTAGGTTAAATTTTCCAAACAAAGCATGGAACTAGAAAGCATGAGGTTAAGATTTATACCTTGATAGATAGATTTTTTTCCATTAGTTGGTACTAACTATTCTATTTTTTCTTATTTTTTTCATGCATGTTACATTGCTCTAATCTGTTCATATTGATTTCTTTTGTTTGCATTGCATGATCATGGCATAACCAAAAGGTGTTTACTGGAAAGACTGTTCATCATATTGGAAAGAAATCGTAAATTGACAAAAAGTTTTATGATCAAACAAAATATGATGCGGCCAAGGAAAGGCATCCTGAAGAAACTAAGAGGATCGAGGGAAGTTCTGTACATAGAGAACCGGTTATATTAATACCAAAAGTATTACACAAAGATCCTACCAGATTGATACCAAAAGCAGTCTACAGTAAGAGTATCAGTCGGGACATTCAGAGTAGTGGAGGTTTTTATGAAGCTGAAGCATGTTATTTGAAGGACTTGAACAACCAAAACAAGAAATTAAGCACAAAAATGAAAACCATGTAGGAAGATTTTCAGAAGATCAGTCAAGCCTTTCAAAATGCTGGCCTAGGAAGTACCCCAGAAGAGTGGATCACAGGGGTCACCAAGCTGAAAAAGAACTGCAATATATATGTAGATCTTGTTCAAGAACTTCTTGGAAAGAAAGGATCTCTTACAAGGGAAAATGAGAAACTCCGAGAAATGACACAGAAGATGAAAGAGAATGTCATGGAAGAAGTTGCAGTCCAGACATGCAATATGGTTCTTAAATGATAGATTTAACTGATTTTACAAAGAGATGAAGCAGACTGAAGATTCAACTTTTGAGCATAAATGGAAACTAACTGGGCTTATCCTTATATGTAAAGTTTTGTTTGATGTACCAAAAATTTTGTGTTCAATGAAATCCGTTCTAAGATGATCACTCTTGAGTAACACCTTTTCATGCATACATTTGCATTTTGCATCCTTGCATTTTACATTTTGCATTTATACTTTTATATTTGCTTTTGCACTATACAATTTGCATTTTTATTGTTACATTTGCATATTTACATTTGCATTTACATTTGCATTTTCTTTACGTTTATATTTACATTTTCATTCTTACATAATTACATTTTATTTCAAACTATTTTACATGCATTTAATCATGACAACGTGGAATAATTCGTGGAGAATTCCATGACAGAATCAAAGTGGAGTTAACTTGGTCTTCCTAAACAAGGATAAGAACCATGAATGAGATCTTAGCAAGGGTCAGTACAATTGAGAAACTGCAAGAGCAACTTATTAAGACTCAACAAGAAATGACTGATCATGCAAAAAAGTTTCAGGATGATTCAAAAGAGCAAATGACCAAGCTGATGAACCTGATGAATGTTGTGATACATGGAGAGAAACCCTTAGAGGATCCTGTTGTGAAAGATTTGAATAGGATTATGAATAATGTAGATGATACAATCGAAACAAATAACCAGAACTTTGCCAAGGAATGTGGAAATTCGATAAATCTCCAAAAATTGGGTATGACCCCAGAAGATGAGACAAAGATCAAGTTGAAGAAAAACATAGAAGAAATTTCAATACCATTGAAGAAAGCTAAACAAAGCAAACATCTAGATCGTAAGTCACAAGGTCTTCAAGAAAGCAAAGAAAATAATTGTAATGTGACAGTGATGTCAGGGGAAATTCTACCCAAGTTTCCTTCAGTTTTATGCAGCAAGTTATATCCTGAGTTACTCAAAGCCCATCTTATTGGCCCATGTCAGGCTAAGCCTTTGTTGCCTCCTTACCCGAGATGGTATAATGAGAAAGTCTTTTGTGAATATCATGCTGGAATCTGAGGACACTCCATCGAGAACTGCGGTCGCTTCAAACGACGAGTTCAAGACCTTTTGGTTCAGGGAATCATAGAAGTGGATGATCAATCTATTTTGGTTAAACAACCGGGATTCAAACCCTAAAATGAAATTAACATGGTCAAGGCAAATGAAGATCATACAACAGAAGATATTGAAAAGAAAAAAGGCAAAATTAAGGAATATGAAGTATGTATGACAGATTCAACTCCTGATACTTCTCTGATACTAAAGAACGAAAAAGAAATGAAAATAGAGGTAATTCGAGATTAGCCCACCAGTTTAAGAATGAATGGGAAAATGTAACTCTAAAGAAACCTCAAACATTTGTATCAGATGTTCTTAGGACAAGTGAAGCA